TGGGACAGTGAAGTTTCCCCAGTGACACTGATTCCACTGGGACAAAGCGATGGCAGTGCTGCATCCAGAGCCACCACAGATGGACAGAGCTGCTCTGTGGATTCCCAGGGCAGGAAAAAGCCAGGAAGGGAGAAAAGCAGGAAAAAGGGTGTTGAGGGCAGCAGGCTGTCAGGAGGAGATGCCTCAGGGATCCACCACTGCCCTGTAATGACATCGACAGTGGGATCCCTCTCCATGGAGAACCATCTCCCAGGGATTGTCCCTCTCATGTTCACATGCTCCCTTCTCCTCCTCCTCCTCCTGCCCTAGATCTTGTTCTGGGGGCTCAGGGACCTGAAGAGAGTGAACCTGGCCCAGGTGGACCGGCCCCGCGTGGACATCGAGTGTGCTGGGAAGGGTGTCCAGTCTGCCCTGATCCAGAACTACAAGAAAAACCCCAACTTCAGCACTTTGGTCAAGTGGTTCGAGGTGGTGAGTGTGGTCCCTTCCCTCTGATCCCTCAGCTGGAACCCACCAGAATTTCTGGACCCCACCGTGGCTCTGAACCTTTTACTCCAGTTTTCCCAAAACAATGGAACACATTGGACACCATTCCTTTCTTTACCTGAGGGCTCCCAAGCCATATTTTGCTGGAACAGCTCTGCCCTAATCCCTACTGCCTTTCCCAGCACGATCCCATTCCCAATCCCTACTGCCTTTCCCAGCATGATCCCATTCCCAATCCCTACTGCCCTTCCCAGTGTAATCCCATTCCCAATCCCTACTGCCCTTCCCATCATGACCCCATTCCTAATCCCTACTGCCCTTCCCAGCATGATCCCATTCCCAATCCCAACTGTCCTTCCCATCATGACCCCATTCCTAACCCCAGCTGTCCTTCCCAACCACCAAACCAGGTGCTCCCAGTCCGTGATAACCATCCCTCCTCTGCCTCCCAGGACCTCCCGGAGAACGAGCTGCTGCACCCGCCCCTGAACATCCGCGTGGTGGACTGCCGGGCCTTCGGGCGCTACACGCTGGTGGGCTCCCACACCGTCAGCTCCCTCCGCAAGTTCATCTACCGCCCACCCGATAAGAAAGCCCAGCACTGGAACATGGCAGGTACCAGGACTGGGACATGGGGACCTGGTCTGGGACATCCCTGGGGAGAAGAGGGAGGTGGGATGGGCTGTGAGGACCATGAGATGGTTGGCTAACCCACAGAACTTCTGGGTTTGGGTCCAGTCTCATCCAGAACTGCAGGACACACCCCAGCTTCAGCACTTTGGTGGTTCCAGGTGGTGAATCTCCACTTCCCTCTGAGTCCTCAGCTGGAACCCAGAATTCCTGGAGCCCAAGCTGTGGCTCTGAGCCCTTTGCTGTGGTTTCCTCACCAGGGTGAGGAGCCACAGGGTACAATCCACGATTTCCTGTTGATTTTTTGACCTCTGAGTCTTGCCTGCTCCCCAGTTCCTGTAAGACAAGAAAGGTTCACCTCCGACATCTCTGCAGCTTCAGGACTTGAGTCCCCAGATGCTCCTCAGGACTGGGACAGGATTTGGCCACACTCAGTCCCCGTGGGGGCTGTAAAGAGCAGAGGTCCAGGCCCCTCTCAACCCCAATCCATCATCTTCTGCAGCAAAACCTGGCCCAGACCCACTTCCCACCCATCCCAGTGGCCGAGGGCTTGGGAGCCATGGGAATTACTCCTCTCCTCCCAGCTTTGGGG